AGACAGCTCAAGGGGCAGAAGCGTATGGAGGGATGGACACTGGGAAGAGGTAACTATGGGGAGGAAGTGAGAGGGAGCTGTTGCATTGTGGTAAACTGTGGTCAGTGACATGAGACAAAGTATATGTGAAATGCTGTATGGAAAGTGAATTTGCTCTGTAAATCTTCACCCAAATCACAATAGAAAAGAAAAGAAAAGAACAATGCTATCCTTACTAAGTGCTTTATATCAGAAAGTGGCACAAATATTTTTCCTCCAAACAACAACAACTATAAGAAATTAAATAATAATCAAATTTTTATTCATATTAGCTATAGTATTGCCAAGGAGCTCTGGTGGTGCAGTGGTTAAGGTGTCTGTTGCTAACCAAAAGGATATCGGTTTGAACCCACCAGGTGCTCCCTAGAAGAAAGATGTGGAAGCTTGTTTTTGTAAATATTACAGCCTTGGAAAACCCATGGGACAGTTCTATTCTGTCCTTCAAGGTCACTAAAAGTTGGAATCAACTTGGTGACAACAGGTGCAGGTTTTATATTATCACCATGATACTGTACTTACATAAGGAAGAATGCCACATCATGGGGTCGTAAAACAAGGTACGTCTTTTTCCAGTTTAAAAAATCATACAATAATTCATTGGCTTCTCCAGTTATAGGAATTTTATTGGCATCTATCCAAAGCTCCAGTGAAGACAGAACTAATGTAATATTAAATGAAGTTAACATCTAAAATAGAATACATATAGAAAATATGTTCAAATTTAAATATATTTGGGAATAAATTTATGAAAATACACACTATAGTGAATATAATTTTAAGGAAATAGTACAACAATTAAACAGTTAAAGTGTATACTGTGTACTTAAAGTATTTTAATAAATACTCATATCAGTAATAATAGTAATGACAGTTATGATTTATTATATGCTTAATATGTGCAGGTTCCATGCCAAGCACTTAATTTCACTTAATCTTAACAAAAACCTTATAACATAGGCAGTGTTATTACTCCCATTTTATGAGTGAGGGACTCAAAACACCTACACAAATTATGTAAGAAGTAGAAACAAATGAAAAGCAGTAAAATGGCAAACACTTACTGCACTGACAAGTCCAATCACCTGGAAAACTTTCTGAGTGACAATAGCTGTGTCAGCACCCATATGGTCATACTGAAAAATATAATTACCATTTAGCTCTCAATCCCCATTGTTTAATATTTAATGTGTTATCTTTTTTCTGTTTAAAACTTAGCTTAGTAGAATAGGAAATATTTAAGTACATCTACATGTAAATTATGGAAGGAAGACTCATTACAACCTGTGATATGCATATGACAAAACCTTGCTTGAAGAGGAATTGAAGAACTTACCGATGAAGATAAAAGACTACACCTTTCAATATGGATTACACCTCAGCATAAAAGAAAACAAAAATCCTCTAACTAGACCAATAAGCGACACCATGATAAATAGAGAAAATATTGAAGTAGTCAATGATGTCATTTTACTTGGATCCACAATCAATGCCCATGAAAGCAGTAGTCAAGAAATAAAAAGACATACTGCATTGGGCTAATGTGTGGCAAAAGACTTCTTGAAAGTATTAGAAAGCAAAGATGCTACTTTGATCCCACTCACAGTGACCCCTCCATGGGTTTCCAAGGCAGTATCACTATGGAAGTAGATTGTCCAACCTTCCTTCCAAGGAGTGACTGGTAGGTTAAGTCATATTATTACCTGATTCAAAATGGCCACTATCAGTCCATTTCAGTTCACTAATGCCCAGTACATCAACCTTTATGAGTTCCATTTCGTTTGGTAATTTCCAATTTTCCTAAAGTCATACTCCACACATTCTGTGTTCTGATTATTAATGAATGTTTGCAGCTGTTTCTCCCCATTTTGAATTGTGTTCCATCACCAAATGAAGATCTGGAAAGTTTACTCCATCCACATCAGTAAAGTTGACTCTACTTTAGGGAGGCAGCTCTTCCCATTGTAGTTTGAGTGCCTTCCAACCTAAGGGGCTCATCTTTCAGCACTACATCAGAAAATGTGTCAGGGCTCTTCAAAAAGTTTTCTAGTAATATATCAGACAGTGTTTCACTGTTATTCATAAGGTTTTCACTGGCCAATTCTTTGAGAAGTGGATGACTCTTCCTTCTTCTGAGTCAGTCTTAGTCTGGAAGCTCTGCTGAAGCCTGTCCACCATGCGTGACCCTGGTGGTATTTGAAATATCAGTGGCATAGCTTCCAGCATCCCAGCAACACATAAACCACCACATTACAGGTGAATAGTGGATATACATATATGCATGCATACATACATACATATACATGTGTGTGTATATGTGTGTGTGTATAATTTATAATATCTTTATTAAAGATGGTGAAGTGAACAACAAACATTATCATTACTTCCTCAAAATGTATGAAAAGGGAATTAAAATGCATGAAACAAGGGGAATAACTGAAATTGTGTGTGTATATGTGTGTATGTATGAAGTATATGTGTCATATGTTTAGCACCTACAAAAATCTTGTAGCCAAGAGAATGGAAAATTCTACTCTGGTCAATCTTATAAGAATAAGAGAACCAACACAACTTTCCGTTGGAAATAACAAGCCAGATCACTGTAATGTATGTCTCAGTCAACACTTCTCACCCATGACAAATGGTTCTAAAGTTTTAAGTGCTACATCCCAAAATAAAGGATATTTCAACATTTGAATCAAGCATCAAACTGCAGATACTAAAACACAGGAAAGCAGACTGAATATGCAGCAAAAATTATATATAGAGAAAATAATTTTAAAAAATCATTTTAATGATAGGAATATGGAGAAAATGAAGAGATGATCCCTGTCAAAAAATAACAGCTGTAAAATTAAAGACCAATATAGTAAGATTAAGATTTAAAAATAATATAGCAGAATGCATATTTCTGTATTCTTTTTGGAAGATAAATTTGGATAAATTTCTCAGTAAGTAAAGCAAAATGATCTAGGAATGAAAAAAATATTTAAAAAATTTGTCCAGATTCCTACTATCCAAATAAAAGCATGTGAGAGTTGGACAATGAATAAGGAAGACCGAAGAAGAGTTGATGCTTTTGAGTTGTGGTGCTGGCGAAGAATGCTGAAAGTACCATGGACTGCTAAAGGAACTAACAGATCTGTCCTGGAGGAAGTGCAGCCAGAATGCTCCTTGGAAGCAAGAATGGCCAGACTTCGTCTCACCTATTTTGGTCATGTTGTAAGAAGGGACCATTCCCTGGAGAAGGATGTCATGCTTGGTAGGGTGGAGGGTTGACGAAAGAGGGAGGGGGCCTTCAACGAGATGGATTGATATGGTGGCTGCAATGATGAGCTCAAGTATAGCAGGGATTGTGGGGCTGGCCCAGGATAGGGCAGTGTTTCATTCTGCTGTGCATGGGGTCGCTATGAGTCGGAAATGACTCGACGGCACTTAACAACAATAACAAATAAAAGGACATCTAAATAGTGAAAACATTATAAAATACAATTCAAGAAAACTGCTTAGAAATTAAAGGCATGATTTTTTCCAAACAGAAAAAAAAAAAAAAACCTAATGCATTGTCTGTTTGAGAGAAGTGAAAAAAATAAATAAATAACTCATCTATGTACATAATTTTTCTGTAAAAATGGGTAAGAAAATCTTAATTCTTCTTGTGCCTTCTTCAGTAAGGATAATAGAAGAGATTTCTATTCTGTACTTTGCTAATATCTGTTGATAGACATTTATTTTAAAACACATATAATTAGTAAGCATTTTTTCTACAATTAAAAATAAAAAAAAATGCTAGGATACATACTATTATTTTGCAAAATTATTATGAATTAGAACATTTGTAAATGTTAATCAATTCCTTAGAAACTAGTAAGATACAATATTTTACCACATCCCCATTTTTTCATATTTTTCAAAAGATTACTTTTTTAAAAAATAAAATTTGATGGTGTTTTGGTAAGATTTTACACAGCAAGTTAAATTCTCATTTGACAACTTCCACACAAATTTTCACAATGTGTCAATATTCTCTTTAATTTTCTTCAAGTTGTTCCATTTCCAGTACTCTAGTTTCCCTTCCCCTTATCTTTTCATATTTGCTTTAAATTAAATGTTGACTGTTTAGACTCAGACAGTTTTGTTTTGTTTTGTTTTGTTTTGTTTTGTTTTAAGTAGAGCACAGACCTAATGGATAATATCCTTTATTTTATGTGTCATTCTGCTTTTCTTCTGAAAGGTTAGTTCAAGGGATAGTTTTAGTTCAATATTTAAAGAGTGATTCAGGGCACTAATTTCAGGGATTCCTCTGGTCTCAAAAGATTACCATTTATTGGAGGTTCCCCCCACACAACAATTATAAACATTTAATTTCTAAAAATTTATCAGTTTAAAATGTTAAAAACAGAGC